TTTTATATATGGTATATATATAAATAAGAATATATGTGTAAACATATAGAAAAATAAAACTCAACTGCCGTCGAGTCAATTGCAACTCGTAGTGACCCCTCCTTGGGTTTCTGAGGCAGTATCTCTATGGAAGATCTATTGCCCCATCTTCCTTCCAAGGAGTAGCTGGTGGGTTTGAACTGCCAGCCTTCTGGTTAGGGATTATGCCACTATATATATGTATGTATGTACATATGTGTGTGTGTGTATATATATATACTTTAGGCACTGTACCACTAATGCCATACACACACACAAATACACACACATGTATACACACATACAGATATGGTGATCAAGAACAGGTAAAACCCTTGAAATAGAGAGGGTATACATGTGGGTGTTCATGCACTCAAGTGCATGCACACACACACACACACATCTGAGTCACAACAGGAGATGGAAACTACACAGAAGGTTAAACAGGAGATGTTTAATATTAAAAAACCTGTTTACTATGATAAAGAATAGCCATAAGATATTAAAATACTCTACGTAGTACCCTAGAGCTGAGGGAGAGTACTCAAGGAAGGACAAACCTGGAAGGGTTCAGACCTCACTGGAGAAGGTATGGCTCAGTCCACCAGACAGCAGAGGAGTTTACTGGCTTGACCAGGGTGGAGCTGGTCTGGAATTGCTGGGCAGGCATTAGGCCTCCTTCAGATGCAGGTGGGTGGGCATGCAATGAGTGTCTGGGTGTCAATGTGTGCAGGCCTTCAGAGTCAGAGGCCATGAAGTGCTCTGGTTTCTCATGTAAAAAGGGCTACGATAAAGTTATCACCAGCCTGTGGACTGGAAAGTTGCTGAGAGACTGTATCCTGTGCACCTGGCTGGTAGGGCTCCACCAGATATCCTCACACCCACACAAGCCATTCCTGCAGGAGAAACCTGTAGGAGAGCCTCTTGTTCCTGTGATGTCCCTCTAGCACCCTATACTGAGAAAGCCCAACACCATGTTCACTCTGAAGAAGAAATGCTTAAAGGAATTCTGCTGTTTATCCCAAAGCATGTATTAAAGGCGCACTTAGAGCTGAGAGGCAATAAATTGATAATTAACACAATGTTCTGGGAGTGGGGAGGAATACTCATGGTGAAGGTACATGAGCAAACTTTCTGGAGTGTTGGGCATGTTCTATATGCAGGTCTGTTCTGTGTCTTTCTTATTTTTTGTAATGCCCCCGCAAACAAAAGCTTCACCTTTCTCCCTCCCTCCTACCCTTGGTAACCACTAATCATCTTTGGGGTGTGTGTGTGTGTATATATATATATTTTGTTTGTTTGTTTGTTTTCCTTCCTCCCAACCTATCTAGGAATTTTCCCTTCCCTCCCCTCCCCTCCCCTCCCATCCCTGGTAAACAACAAAAAATTTTCCTTCCATGTATAAACCTTTCCTTGACTTTTTACAATAGTGGACAAATACAATATTTGTCCTTCTGTGATTGCTTATTTCACTCACATAATGTCCTCCAACACCAGCCACTCCTCGGAAGGAAGATGGGGCAATCTACTTCCGTAGTGATACTGCCTCAGAAACCCAAGGAGGGGTCGCTATGGGTTGGGTCCGACTCGACGGCACATAACAACAACAACAACAACAATGTCCTCCAAGTTCATCCACCGTTACGTGGTATTTTGTAGATTCTGCATTATTCTTTAGGTTTTCACAATATTCTATTGTGTACATGTACCATAGTTTATCTATTCCTCAGCTGATGGGCACTAAAGTTGTTTCCATCTCTTTGCTATTGTAAATAGTGCTGTGATGAATATGGGTGTGCATATATCTATTCATGTCCTGCATCGCACTTCTTTAGGATATCTACCTAGTAATGGGATTGCTGGATCAAACGTTATTTCTATTTCCAACTCTCAAGGAATCGCCATACCGATTTCCAGTCTTCCAGCAGTATATGAGAGTACCAAGCTCTCCACATGCTTACAAGCATTTTTTATTTTCTGTCTTGTTGAACTTTGCTATTAATGCTAACATGAGAGGGTATCTCATTGTTGTTTTGATTTGCATCTTTCTAATGGCTAATGATCATGAACATTTCTTCATGTGTTTGTTGGCTGCCTGAGTATCTTCTGTGGTGAAGTGTCTATTCATGTCTTCTGTCCATTTTTTAATAGGATTGTTTGTCTTGTTCTTGTTGATGTGTTGGAGCTTTCTATAAATTTTAGAGATAAGTCCTTTGTCAGATATGTCATTGCTGAATATTTTTTCTCCCAATCTGTAGGTTCTCTTCTGACTCTCTTAGAGAAGTCTTGTGATACACATAAGAATTTGATTTTTAGAAGGTCCCAGTCATCAAGTTCATCTCTGCTGTTTGTGCACCTTATGCTTGGTAGTCTATTTATGCCATAAATTAGTGCCCCTAAGTTTGCCCCTATTTTTCCTTTGATAAACTTTATAGTTTTGGCTTTCACACTTACGTCTTTGATCCATCTGGATTTAATTTTTGTGTATGGCATGAGGTATGGATCTTGTTTATTTTTCTGCAAATGGATCTCCAGTTTTGCCAGCACCATTTGTGAAAGAGACTATCTCTTCCCCATTGAATGGATTTTGGCCCTTTGTCAAAGATCAGCTGACCACAGGTCAGTCATTCTACTTCTGGGTTCTTGATTCTGTTCTGTGTCTTTCTATACATGGGTGTGTATACACGTGAAAATTCACGAGGTTATAGACTTAATATTTGTTTATTTTACTCTAAATATACCTCAATAAGATTTATATATATACATATATACACACACGTATGTATACACACAGACACACACACACATATATACATAATTCACATATACACACATACACATATACACATACACATACATATATACACACATATACATATATGCATACATGTTTTTGTTGTCGTTATATGCCGTCAAGTCAGACCCGACTCATAGCGACCCCTCCTTGGGTTTCCGAGGCAGGATCTCTACGGAAGTAGATTGCCCAACCTTCCTTCTGATATATGCATACATACATACATAATATACACATAATTACATATATATACATACATATGTCCACACACACATATATATACATATGCATTTGTTGTTGTTATTTGCCGTCGAGTCAGCCCCGACTCATAGCGACCCCTCCTTGGGTTTCCGAGGCAGTATCACTACAGAAGTAGGAATGCCCAACCTTCCTTCCAAGGAGTGGCTGGTGGGTTTGAACCGCCAGCCTTCTGGTTAGCAGTCAAGTGCCTTAGGCACTATGCTACCAGAGCTCCTTACATATGCATACATACATATATATACACACACATACATACATTCATATATATAATTACTGCCTTGTCAATAAAAATGAAGATGACAAACCTTGCTCGGGACAATAACTATTTTTGAAGTTTCTGTATTTAAAGAGCCTGCTTACCGATAATGAGCCTGTGAAGAGCACCCTTATCTCCATTAACAGCAGCAGCATGAACTTGCGACGCCTGCGAGGAACCAGTCAACAGCAGATCCTCGGACCTATTCATAGTCTTGTCGAGAACTGAAGCAACCTGAAGCAATACAAGTCGTGAGTACATGTAGGAGAGATTTTGTGAAACCTAGCTTGTTAGATCTTAAAGCTGTTCTCTAGTAGGTATGTTACAAACATGGTTTACTGGAAATATTTGAGTAGGATTAAAAAACCTAGAGTCTTAGTCCTAGAATTGACATAATGTGGGAAATTAGGTGACCGTTTGCATAAGGGACTTGCGTAAAGTGAGAGGGTTCAAAGCTTCTAAGATCCTTTTCAAGGACTGTCTGAGAAAATATACTCAATACTTAACATTGGACAAAGGACTCAAGAGCCACAGTGATTTCTAATACAGGCAATTTGATTCCACACAATATGAAACAGTAGAATTGACATTGGGAATACAGGTGATTAAGCCATAAACTGGCATGGTGTTTCCTTAGTTGTCAAATCAGAATTACCTAGATTTAAGTGTTAAACTAACGATTACCTAAACTTTGTCTCTCATGCCCATGAAAGGTAGAATTTCTGTTTTCTCGTTATAGCCACCAGGGAAGTCTACCTAGCTTGAGGTCTTGATCTTAGGACATTACTTGGAATCCTGCACCATTAGGATTAAACATGCTTTATCAATGAAAATTTTGTTCTGACTGATAGTCTGATAAGGTTTGTTAGAACGTTCTCGGAATGCAATAACTGCATAGGAAAATAGCGAGTTCCCTGTGATGAGCGTGTTTAAAGAGGTTAGATTCTGTCCCAAGTTCAACAGGAAGAATTCCAGATCTGATGGGAGGAGACACAGGCAGTTACACTCATGACCTTAACCATCCTTCCCTAGGGCAAGCTGAAGCGTTCTAAACTTGAGCGCCTGCAATGTAAGGGAGATACAAGTATAGGAAAGGCAGGGAGTCACAGGGACCCAGGCAAACCGGGCACATGTATCTCTCTAAAGAGAGCAGCTTTTGACCAGCTCCAGTTAATTGCTGTCGTGAGGGAATTCACCAGAAACCGTGTCACCCCAGTTTCTGACTCCCCAGGATGTGGGAGTTTTGTAAGATAAATCTATCGTAGCTGATGAGCCAGCACTTGTGTTGTCATTGACAAAGATTATTGGTTCACGTTCTGTCTTAGAGAAAAGGTATTTTCTTAATTATGGTAAAGGTCAGCTCTTCATGTCTTTATTTTGCTGACAACTTGTGTTAACATGTTGGCAGAAAATATGTAGGAAAATGGTGGTGTCAGATACTCCTGTCATGGCCCAGATATTCAGAAGAATCACTGTCATATGCACAACTTTATTAAAGTCACTTGAAAGAAGCTACAAAACAGGGGCAGAAGAAATGTAATTATAGCTGGGCTCTAGGCCGGGTTCTGTTAACAACAATCGGTGTGCCCTAAGGCTACCTCAACTCCCCAAACAAACCAAACCCAGCCCAACCCACTGCCAGCAAGTCCACTCCAAGTCATGGAGACCCTATAGGGCAGAGCAGAACTGCCCCATAGGATTTTCATGTCTGTAAATCATCCGGGTTCTGCTGTGTGCATGGGGTCGCTATGAGTCGGAAACGACTCGACGGCACTTAACAACAACAAATCATTTACTGAAGCAGGGGACCACATCTTTCTCCTGAGGAACAGCTGGTGGGTTGGAACCGCTGCCCTTTTTGGTTAAAGCACAGCCAAGTGCTCTAACCATTGTGCTACTAGGGCTCTTCCCTCAGCACATTAGGTTTCTGAAAAAATATAAAACATGAAAAGGGTAATGAATTATGTTCATTCATTTAATGAGTTGAGTACCAATTACATGTCAGACACTGTCTAACTTCTTAAGTCCTGTCAGTTTAGATCAGGCTTTTAAGCGTATCAGACTCACAAAAAAACTCTTCATACCATTTGTAAAACATACTGAAACTTAGATTGTGGCTGTATGTGTAATTCTCATCACTTAACACAGTAACAGGTTTATAACGGGCTCAGTAAACGTTTGTTGACTGAAAGGTCATAGGCTGAGTGCTAAGTCCACAGGGTGAGCAGGACCAAAGTTTAATTCCTTCCCTGCTCTCTTTCCTTCCCCATTTCAACTCTCCTGGGGCTCCATCGGGAGCTCTGGTAGCACAGTGCCTACGGCATCTGACTGCTAAGCAAAAGGTGGTTCAAACCCACCAGCCACTCTGTAGAAGTAAGACTGGGCAATTTACTTCGGTGAAGATGTACTGCCTCGGAACCCAGTGGGGGACGCTATGAGTCAGAATGAACTCGGTGGCAGTGGGTTCGGTTTGGGTTTGGGGCTCTGTCGGAGGAGAGCCGAAGACCTAAGTCCCAGCCTTGGCTTTGCCACTGTCTGGTTCTATCAACCTAGGAAAAGCATGCTCTAGGTTCCTTATAGTTCAGCTTTTTCTTTTTTTCGCGCATATGTTTTTTGCAAATAATTTTTGATAGGCAAAAAGCAAATCACTTTGTTAATTATAAAGTGCTATAAAATGCAAAGGTATCATCACTAATTATAAAACAAGCCCATGTAATACATGCAGTAATAATTAAAACTCTATCAAAATAGTGAAGCTGGAGTCAATACGCAAAGAAAAAGTAGTTCTGAGTAGGGCTGAAGGGTTGGTTGGTGGGGAAGTTCAGAGGCAGGAAAGCTTGAATAAAGGAGGCAGGGGGTAGAGAAAGCCACAAAAGCCAACGTGCCTCCAGGATACTTAGTAATTGTGTCGCTAACGCTTGGGGCACGGGGACCTGGGTGTTTGCACTTCAGGAAAACACCCTCATAGTAGGGCCTATCTGGCTTAACTATCTGTGGAGGTCTGCCATTCTACGCTGAGCAATTTGTTAATCATCTGTAGGAGTGAGCCGTGCATAAGCATCCCTCTTGCACTGAGTTTTTCCGTTTGCAACCTGATTTCCCAGCCCTTCGGGGCTCTGGTGGTGTAGTGGTTAAAGCATTTGGCTACTAAACATAAAGGTCAGCGGTTCGAACCCACCAGCTGTTCCGCGGGAGAAAGATGAGGCACTGCGCTTCCCTAAAGATTTACAGCCTCAGAAGCCCTATGTTGTTGTTGTTATGTGCCGTCGAGTCGGCCTCGACTCATAGCGACCCCTCCTTGGGTTTCCCAGGCAGTATCATTACGGAAGTAAGATTGCCCAACCTTCCTTCCGAGGAGTGGCTGGTGGGTTTGAACCGCCAGCCGTCTGGTTAGCAGGCAAGTGTCTTAGCCACTATGCTGCCAGAGCTCCCCAGAAGCCCTATAGGGCTGTTCTATTCCGACCCTACAGGGTAGCTAGGAGTCAGAATCGACTGGATGTCAATGGCTTTTTTCCCGTCCCTGTGACATTGGCTCCTTACACGAGCTCACAGAGGTAATTAGGTACTCATTCCACTGACGCCTTAAGAGGTGGCCCTGGCTTTACAAGGCAGGAATTTATGCAGAAAGAAGAGGCAGCAGGCGAGGAGGCCAGTGATGGAGGCACAGGCTACAGTCCAGGCCAGGAAGGCCTGGAGTAGGAGGCAGAAGCCAGGGCGGTGCAGACCGACCCGGACCTCCCCAGCCAGACCCCCTCCTACTCACCCTTGCCTCCTCCAGGACTGACGTCCGGGAGGCAGCCCCGGGAGGCACGACCCCCACGGGCGCCCCTCCCGCCAGGCCCGGACAACTACACCGGGTTTGTACAGACCCCACCGTGCTGGATCTAGTTGAACCCTTCAGAAGGCCGCCCGAGGCGCTCAACCGTGCAGCCTTCTGGGAATTGTAGTTCTCATCCTCTGTAACGCAGAGGTACACCCGCCCTCAGCCCTTTCTATCCCAGAAGGCCCCGCAGGCGGAGGCCTTGTCCGACCTCGGCCGAGAGCCTGCCGGGAAAGGGAGTTCGAGAGGTCTTATTTATCTGCCTGGTGAAAGTGAAGCAAGACTACATTTCCCGGTATGTTCCGAGGAGGGCAGGACCCGGAAGTGAGGGTGTGCGGGGCCTCGCTGGAAGTTGTCCCGGGTGTTCGCCGCTGGAGCTCCGGGTCGAGAGGACGAGGTGCAGCTGCTGGGCGAATCCTCCGCTGCCGCCGGCTCCCGGAGCCCAGCCCTTTCCCGACCCAACCCAACCCAGCCCCAGCAATCAACAGCTGTCCCTGCCGCGGACCTCAAAGCTACCTACCATGAAACCTGCGGTCTTGCTACCTTTACCCGACCTCAGATGCTCCCTGCTGCTCCTGGTGAGTGAGTGAGGGAGTGACAGACTCTTTGAAAGCCACACAGACGGCCTCTCCGTCCTTGCCAAGGGGGAACACTGCCGCCCCTGTGCCGGCTGTCTTTCCCTCCGGTGGCGAGGAGTGTGCACCCTCCCCCGCTGCCTTCGCTCTCAGTCTCCATCTGTCTCGAGGTCTGAGAAGCGACGACTGGAGGTTGGGACCTGTAGTCCGGGAGTTCGCTCTTGGGGAGGAATTCGTGGGAGAGCCAGGGCGGAGGGGCTCCCCCTACCCTTCTGCGTCCGGCGGTAGGTTCATTCAGTCTGGAGATTTCGTGGACTTGGTGGTGGCCTCCTGTTCTCGCCCACCCCCACGCTTTGGAAAGGGTGTGAAGTCGACAGGTGCTGGGGTCGTGTGAATCTCTCCAGAGCTCTGAAACGGTGCCCTGGGTGGCAGAGCCCTCAGTTGTGGCTTGATGCGATTGGTTGGGAACCCGGAACTGGAGACTGGTTTGGTGTCCACTAGGGAAATAAGGATTTAAAAGGAGAGTGTGATTAGCTGACGACCTCAGTGCAAAGCCTCCCTCAAATCTTGTTTACCCTACACCGCCGTAGTGAAGTAAGTTTCTTGTCAATGTGCAGAACTCGTGATTGACCAACTAGTGGGTCTTCTGGATACGGATGTACTTATTTCTTAATTCTCTCATCTGCCCACCTATGTCTCATCTTGTAATCTTTCCTCAGTCTCTCTTCTTCCAAGTTACCATCTTGAGCGTGCAACCTAAGTGATCAGGCTTCCATTCAAATTGACACAACAGTGAAGGACCAACCTTGCATGAAAAACTGACATAATCTTATTGGGCTGTTTAATATTAGAGTACAGTATTTGAAAACACTTTAATTGCAATAGATTTCTACAAAGTCAAATTTAACACGAACATTAGTGATTATTAAGTTACAACCACTTTCCTTTGAATTTAAGAAACATAATTAAGTGACTCACAGGAAGTCATACAGCCGGTTTACTGGCAGAACCGGGACTAGAAACAGGTCTTTTGACTAACAGTGCTTTTTCTACCATAATGCATTAAATTTTTGATATTTGTGTTTGAAATAGGGCTTGTTCTCTAGCCCCCCCCTTTTTTTTTTCCTTTAAAGTGGCATGCCAGCCATATCCAAAGGTTGCATATAGCACTGGGACCTTTCCAGAGAGAAAGCATTATGAAAAACTAAATGAGGTGTCAAAACTTTTGGGGCTAGGAGTTGTATATAACCGTAATAATATAAATCACAGAATGTCTCACTGCCACTTTTTATAAATACACACAACAGTGAATGATTTCTATCTGGAAGAAAATATTTTTCAACAATATCTGCATGTACAATTTGGTGACATTGGTGACATTCTTCAAGTTGTGCCGCCTTTGTTAACATCATTTTCCAAAGTATTTCACCATCATTAACACACCCTCACTGCCCCCTAAGTTTCTCATCTGTCCTTTCAAATGCGGTTATCAATTTAATCACATATAGATAATTCTTGAAAAGAGGATTTGCTTAATGCAGACATTCTTTTCTAATTAGGCTAAACTATTGGTTCAAAGGGAGCTCTGGTAGCGTAGTAGCTAAGGCACTTGACTGCTTACCAGAAGGCTGGCAGTTCAAACCCACCAACCACTCCCCGGAAGGAAGATGGAGCAATCTACTTCCGTAGTGATACTGCCCTGGAAACCCAAGGAGGGGTCGCTATGGGTCGGGTCTGACTCAATGGCACATAACAACAACAACAACAACAACATTGGTTCAAAGATAATGTGGGGAGATGGAATTGGTTTAAGGTTTATGATTTCCTCAAAGTATTATTTTGAAAGAGGTGGGGAGAAGGGGCCGTCCAGCCTCAAACACTCTGGAAAGTCTGGATTCCATATTGTAGCATTTGCTTACTGTTTATTGGTGGTTTCATTATACACTGTGGTTCTTTCTTCCTTCTAGAAGTATATGAATCATACTCATTAGTTTGAGTCCCTGGGTGGCACAGACAGTTAAGCACTCGGCTAATAGCTGAAAGGTTGGCAATTCAAACCCACCCAGAAGCACCTCCGAAGACAGGCCTGTCAGTCTGCTTCCAAAAGATCATAGCTCTGAAAACCCGGTGGAGCGGTTCTGCTCTGCACACACAGGGTCACACGAGATGGAGTTGGCTTGATGGCACCAAGAACAATATTATTATTAGAGACCACTAGAGTATGTTGTCTCTCTCCCTAAGGAAATGAAATAATTTTTTCATATAATAGCCTGGAATATGAGTTGTCTGCCAGAAATTACTTCAGGTTACCAAAAAGTTGTTGTTGTTGCTGTTGTTGTGTGCTGTGGAGTTGGACCCAACTCATAGCGACCCCTCCTTGGGTTTCTGAGGCAGTATCTCTACAGAAGTAGATTGCCTAATCTTCCCTCCGAGGAGTGGCTTTTGGGTTTGAACCACCAACCTTCTGGTTAGCAGTTAAGTGCTAGGCACTACGCCACCAGAGCTCCCTACCAAAAAGTAGAGAGGGGAAAAATAATAAGACATTGGAAAGAGAGGTTGAAATATTGAATAGAAAAAAAACAAAGGTACATGAAATTGAATTTCTAGAATGGTGTTTGATTGTAGAGATAAATTTAAGGAGAAAGGCTTTATTTTGAAGTAATTCATGTGTTTTATAGAAAACTTCCAAATTCTGATAAGTATAAAGAAGAAGAAGGAAGTTTTTAGTAATTTTACTATCTAGTTAATGTTCTGTGTATTTTTATTTGTCTTTCTAAGCAAATGTAGAGGAATGGAAACCTAAAAGATGCTTTAGTGAATGCGTATAAAGATTAATGGGCTGGAAAATAAAGCACCAGAAAAGGTTTAATAAACCAGAAGTACAAGTCAAGTTAGATTCAATTTGAGCACATTGTTTACCAAGGTAGTTTTAATAATCATATACTAGTTCATAAATATCCATCAAACATCTGTCTTGTCTAATCACAGGTTTGAGTTGCTTACACAACCGGTGACTGTGTTCTGTCTTCTGTCTACTCATGCATCCTTTATGTGCCCCAAAGTACTACCTTCCTGCACCCTCCAGCTTTGCCACTCCGGCTTCAGGTTGATCCCTGTCCACAGATAGCCATGGAATACCCAGTGTCTACCTAGCCGAGGCATCATTCTTTCCTTAAGTGGCCTGCTCGAAAAAGCCATATGTGTTCTTCCTACAGTAATTTTTTCTCCAGGCAAACTCAGCCCTAAAGAACTAGACCTATCCAGATTTTGTCACAATCAGAAGAGAAGCTGTACTAGAAACATAGAACCCTCAACTTC